GCTAGGAATCTGGGATAGCTTGCCATCAATATATGCTGAGTCTTAGAGACGCGCATACAGAATCCGAGTAAAATGAATAATTTGACTTCACCTTCGTGTACCTGGAGGTGCTGACGCTGCTTCCTGTGGCCTCGCTGACGTAGGTATAGCATTGAGTCGTAGGGCAGCACTAGCTCTCTTATAATGGATTGCAGCAGATGGTCGCTGATGAGTAGTACGACTAAACGGGACAGGAGGGACTGGGAAACATAGGGACATTAGCTGTTACTTCTTCGTTGTCTTTGGCTACGTTCCCACTGATTGAAGGTCAGATGACATGGGAGATGGGTTTAACAGAGAGCTTACTAATATTTTTCAAGCGTAAGGCGCTCTGATGCGATAAAAATGGTTGGTGACTGGTGCCGATCTCGGTGGACTAAGCAAAAATGAAGTATCTGGGTTGTTCATATAGAGTTGAAACTGATCGAAAAAACAACGGCGACCGGCTACATGAATTATGATCAGATAACCTCCGATTTCGCGCCAACATCAACTATAAGCATAAAGAAAAACATCTTTCGACATGGCGACCCCCAAAACCACCTCAAAACTGGACTCAAAGAAACCACATTGTTATCAGCTATCGACGGAGGCTCGATAGTAGACTGTGGCACATTCTGGACCACATGTTTGGACTCAGATCATGCTCTGGTAGGAGCACGTATTTGTCTGTGTCTTACTAAACGAAAGAAAGACAGAGCAAGGAAACCCCTTCGAGTCCTACTCAACAGGATGAGATGGGATTACCCGAATACTTTTTTAAAAAGGTTAAGCACTATCCGGTTTGTACAGTTTTATTTAACTTTGTCATTGACCTGGTTCGAGAGAGGACACTTTCATTGTTCGACTCTTCTGGAGTTGAACTTGTTGACTCAGAAAATGCTGATGACACATTCCTATTTGGTGAAGACGCTGACAACATGCAGTCTTCTGACTATCCTTAGCAATAATGCAAGCATGTTCGGGATGAGATTCTACCCGTCGAAATGCAAAATGTTGCTCCGAGATTGACTTGTGTCGGCACCTGTACCCCTGAGAGGCAGTGAAGCAGTTGAGCGTGTTGACTGCTTCATCTATCTCTGGAGTCTCATCAGTGCTGATAGCTCGGTGACTGACGAAATCTCAACACGGACATAGAAGGCTCGATTGGCTTTTGCCAACTTGCGCCACTGATGGCGTCGGCGGGATATCTGTTTGCTAACCATGAATTCACTGATAAGTGGACTGAGTCATGTTGGTACGTGTAGACTACCTGGTTGTGGTCCGCAAGATGAAAGTCACTGATGGTTAAAGACCTTGAACGAAATGGCTTAAAATCGGTTGCAATGGCGCAGGTGCATCAACTCTTTGTGTTCTCTCAAGTTCTAATCTTCAGAATTCCTCATTATCTCTATCTTTCCCTTACTAAAGTCATCCCACTGAATCATACCTCTCGAATCATATCTTCGAACCCTATTCTTCTCCTTTACCGCTAATGCTTCTACTATCTCTACCACTATGGGGTCTGAAATGGCAGCTGAGTCTCTGTGCTAATGTGGTATGGCAACATGAACTTATGCGCGTACGTACGAATTTCTACGGTGTAACTGACTGACTGGGAAAAACAAAACAGGATGAGAGTCGCTTTTCTCCGACGGGGTAATTAAAAAACAAGGCGAACATTCTTATAGTAATATTAGACCTGATGTGATAACTTAAACAATGAATCAGATCAAAGCCACTGTGCTGGTAGTAAAAAAACTGTCTGAAAAAAAAATTTACACTTGCAGTGGCGTAAAATTTGCATGTGCAGGTATCCTGTATGCACGATGTTTAAAATGTTACATTCAGTCAGTCCATAAATGAGAAATGCTTCATTTAAATAAACTGAATACTAACAATTATGAGCACTGAAACTTGTTTAGTAGGACAGAAAAGATAAAAATAATGGGAAGTATGATTTGATCTTTAGTGAATCAACTAGATAATAAGGAGACTCGTATAGATTCCTGACTTGCCGTGAAAAAGCAACGTCAAAATACGGTGATTTAATGTAAGACGACTCTCAGGATAGTTCAGATCCGTCGAAATGCAAAATGTTGCTCCGAGATTGCTATGAGATTGACTTGCGTCGGCATCTGAAACCCTGAGAGTGAGTGAAGCAGTTGAGTGTGTTGAGTGCTTAATCTATCTCTGGAATCTTATCAGTGCTGATAGCTCGGTGACTGACAAAACCTCGGCTACTCTCGAGCCTCTACATCGATGGCTGATAACCATGTTGTTTCTTTGATGCTAGTGTATTGGGATATTAGGGTGGATTAAAAGCAGCACATTCCATGTTTTTTTGATGTTGCTACATAATATACGGTGTAGAATTTTTTTTGAATGTTTTGTTTTTTGGAAAATCCCTCCATGTTTATATATTTTTGTTATGACATGATGGACTTTTTCTGTTGAGATTTTGGTATTTTATTTGATTCTAATTTGAGACTTTATCATTGTATATTGTTATTATTTCTATATTTTGTACTTATATTGAAGATTTTATGTTTGCTTCTGAACTGTACATATGTTGTTTAAAGTTGATATAATATGGCTACAGCCACATTTTTGGATTTGATATCGTTGCAGTATACGAGTTTCACCTAGTCTTCGGAACCTGGATACTCATTCAGAGTAATTTTGAATTGGAAGACGTAAAAATCGTTAGGTAACGTTTGTATTTCCATTTCTTCTCTATAAATAGCCACTTTCTTCTAGAATTATTATGTTTTGATATTCGAATAACGGAGGGTGCGTCCAGCATACGTCTATTGGAATCGAATTGAACTGCTACGGTAGAAAATCAAACTACATACGGTACTTGCATTCTGTGCATAACACGTCTGTGAAATAATAATATTTGGTACATTCGTTTTGAAATTATTTACAAAGCTACTCAGACCACTCGTCAGTAAACCAATTTATTTTTTACAACGCCAATTTTTCTGATCAATTAAACCAGGCGCCTACACGTTCAGAGTGTAGGATTTGATTTGTCCTACAGATGTAATTCTACAACAGTAAACGCAATACTGGCGAGCACAGAGTCTATGGTAAAGCTGTAGTAAGTAAAAGTCAACTTGGTTTTAAACTTTATCTGTTTCCAAACAAAAAAATGATTAAATTAGTACAATAAATAAGGAAATTACAATTATCAAGTAAGACGAGCAAACGTACCAACCAGTAAAGCGTGTCTTTAGAAAATGAATAAAAACATGAGTCACATCAATATAATACAATAATAACGTCATTCAATCATTAGGTCATTTACAACAATGAGGGTTTACAGACCGGACAGACTAGATAACGTGGTGAGCGCTTAACCAATCTGATTGGTTAGTTATGGCATAACTACAATTAGTTATAAAATAACTAACACAGAGTACTACGCCAACCCATTGCCAGCTTACGGCTTAGGGATCATCTGTATCACTCCTGACTTAGTACTAAGGAAACTAAAATCCTTACGCCCAGGTAAGTCACCAGGTTGTGACAAAATTCGCCACATAGTCTTGAAACAATGTGCAGAAGTCCTCTATTCACCGATATGCGACCTGTTCAGGCATTCACTGGAGTCACATCAATTCCCAGCTGAATGGAAACAAGCTACTCTCTCCCCAATCTTCAAAGGAGGAGATAGAAAGGACCCAGACTGTTACAGACCAGTCGCACTACTACCAATATTCTCAAAGGTTATGGAAGGGCTAGTGGACGAATAAATGAAGAAGTACATGGATAAGAACCAAATACCTCATGAAGCTGAAAACGGGTTTCGGAAAGGTAGATCGTGCGCATCTAATCTTCTCATTGCATGGGACAGTTGGCATCCTGTTTGGACCGTAAAATACCTGTGCACCTAATATTTCCACACCAGTCCAAAGTATGTTGGGGATGCAGCCAAAGCAAATGCGACTCTTCACTTTGTGCGAAGACAGCTTGGTGCCATCACCCTAAAATTATTTTTAACCATGTTTAAGACGTACGCGCGCCCACACTTGGAAGTTCACAACGTCATCGCACCCCCTCTGATTAAAAGAGACATAAATCTCTTGGATCGAGTGCAGAGACGGGCAACGAAATGGGTGATCGGGTTGGAAAATAAACCCTACGACGATAGACTCCAGCTCTTGGGATTATTTCCACTGAGCTACAGGAGAATCAGAGGTGACCTGATTATGGCGTACACCATATTAAACACGCCAAACCATCCCAATGTGAGCATCTTACCGATGCATCACCACCACTCCCCTCGAGGCAATCCTCGAAAGATTGCACATCAAAGAGCGAATACTCAGATTCGTGCACACTTTCTCTCATTGCGAGTCGTCGCAACTTGGAATGCTCTCCCAGCCGAGGTAGTTACAGCCCCCTCAGTGGACTGCTTTAAGAAGAGACTTGATAATCACGTACTCACATACGGACTATCATCTCCCTCTTGGACAAGCTGTTCATGATGCATATCTTGAGACCTGCTAGTTGTTACCATTGCCATCTCCTCAGATCAGTCAATTAATCTATCCCGCCTTTTATCTCTGTTTCCTCTCCCTTGCTTACACTCCGGTCCTCTGTCACAATCTTCACTACCAATTAACAAACTAAATTCATCTATGTATTACTCAGTTCTGAACTTTTATTCATATTATCATTAGAATTTTATCCTTATTGCCCTTATTACTCTCCACATTGCAACTAACTGATCTCCGGTTTGGTAATGTGACGGCTGCTGGTATCCAGAAACCCTACTGCCCTAAAACAAACGTTTACATTCACAACCAACTTTCAACTGACTAGAATTAGACAATTGAGTGGCTAGACCTCCATCCATTGAAAATTACCGAACACCTGGAACCGTACCGAAAGAACAAGAATCGAGCCCATAGAAATCAACTGGCTTACACTAGCTCGTGAAATAGATATTGGATATTGGAACAATTGCTGAGCTTCGTTACCCACAAGATTTCCAAGGTCGAACCAATGGATGGGAGGCTGTTTTAACCTATCAGTGACTTACTAGACGCCTTTATGATGTATTTTTCAAGATTATCATGCTTTCGAAATTTTATTCACACTTCAAGAAGATTAAAGCGTAAGGTCAATTTACAAATCGCATTGGTTTAGTCCCTATCCAAGTAAAAATGCCGTCTCTGTCTCCAACCATGTCCGAAGGCTCAATCGTTAACTGGGTGAAGAATGAAGGTACTTAATAGTTCTTTAGCGATATACAATTTTGATAAGGAGAGGAGATAGTCGCTGGAGACGTTCTTTGCGAGGTTCAGACGGACAAAGCTGTTATTTCGTTTGAGTCCGAGGAGGATGGTATACTGGCCAAAATCTTGGTGTGTTTATTTACATTATTCATTGTCTTGTATATTGGCTTTTGTCACTCTTACAATTCTACTGATCATACTTTTATTTGTTTACTTCTCGACACTTCGGCATTGTACCTCATAAGACAAACTGTGCGTCCCTTGAATTACGCAAGTAAATTCACATACCATTAAGGCTGTATTTCGAATGGCCTTCGTTTCTTGTGCTTAGAGATTTCGCAATATGACTTAACCAAATAAAGTGAAAACCAAGTGTTACTCTTAAGGCTTGTACTTGTTCAGTTTTTGAGAACTGAACTAACCTGAGAGTCGTCTTACACTAAATCACCGTATCTTGACGTTGCTTTTTCACGGCAAGTCAGGAATCTATACGAGTCTTCTTATTATCTAGTTGATTCACTAAAGACCAAATCATACTACCCATTATTTTTATCTTTTCTGTCCTACTAAACAAGTTTCAGTGCTCATAATTGTTAGTATTCAGTTTATTTAAATGAAGCATTTCTCATTTATGGACTGACTGAATGTAACATTTTAAACATCGTGCATACAGGATACCTGCACATGCAAATTTTACGCCACTGCAAGTGTAAATTTTTTTTCAGACAGTTTTTTTACTACCAGCACAGTGGCTTTGACCTGATTCATTGTTTAAGTTATCACATCAGGTCATAATATTACTATAAGAATGTTCACCTTGTTTTTTAATTACCCCGTCGGAGAAAAGCGACTCTCATCCTGTTTTGTTTTTCCCAGTCAGTCAGTTACACCGTAGAAATTCGTACGTACGCGCATAAGTTCATGTTGCCATACCACATTAGCACAGAGACTCAGCTGCCATTTCAGACCCCATAGTGGTAGAGATAGTAGAAGCATTAGCGGTAAAGGAGAAGAATAGGGTTCGAAGATATGATTCGAGAGGTATGATTCAGTGGGATGACTTTAGTAAGGGAAAGATAGAGATAATGAGGAATTCTGAAGATTAGAACTTGAGAGAACACAAAGAGTTGATGCACCTGCGCCATTGCAACCGATTTTAAGCCATTTCGTTCAAGGTCTTTAACCATCAGTGACTTTCATCTTGCGGACCACAACCAGGTAGTCTACACGTACCAACATGACTCAGTCCACTTATCAGTGAATTCATGGTTAGCAAACAGATATCCCGCCGACGTCATCAGTGGCGCAAGTTGGCAAAAGCCAATCGAGCCTTCTATGTCCGTGTTGAGATTTCGTCAGTCACCGAGCTATCAGCACTGATGAGACTCCAGAGATAGATGAAGCAGTCAACACGCTCAACTGCTTCACTGCCTCTCAGGGGTACAGGTGCCGACACAAGTCAATCTCGGAGCAACATTTTGCATTTCGACGGGTAGAATCTCATCCCGAACATGCTTGCATTATTGCTAAGGATAGTCAGAAGACTGCATGTTGTCAGTGTCTTCACCAAATAGGAATGTGTCATCAGCATTTTCTGAGTCAACAAGTTCAATTCCAGAAGAGTCGAACAATGAAAGTGTCCTCTCTCGAACCGGGTCAATGACAAAGTTAAATAAAAATGTACAAACCGGATAGTGCTTAACCTTTTTAAAAAAGTATTCGGGTAATCCCATCTCATCCTGTTGAGTAGGACTCGAAGGGGTTTCCTTGCTCTGTCTTTCTTTCGTTTAGTAAGACACAGACAAATACGTGCTCCTACCAAAGCATGATCTGAGTCCAAACATGTGGTCCAGAATGTGCCGCAGTCTGCTATCGAGCCTCCGTCGATAGCTGATAACAATGTGGTTTCTTTGAGTCCAGTTTTGAGGTGGTTTTGGGGGTCGCCATGTCGAAAGATGTTTTTCTTTATGCTTATAGTTGATGTTGGCGCGAAATCGGAGGTTATCTGATCATAATTCATGTAGCCGGTCGCCGTTGTTTTTTCGATCAGTTTCAACTCTATATGAACAACCCAGATACTTCGTTTTTGCTTAGTCCACCGAGATCGGCACCAGTCACCAACCATTTTTATCGCATCAGAGCGCCTTACGCTTGAAAAATATTAGTAAGCTCTCTGTTAAACCCATCTCCCATGTCATCTGACCTTCAATCAGTGGGAACGTAGCCAAAGACAACGAAGAAGTAACAGCTAATGTCCCTATGTTTCCCAGTCCCTCCTGTCCCGTTTAGTCGTACTACTCATCAGCGACCATCTGCTGCAATCCATTATAAGAGAGCTAGTGCTGCCCTACGACTCAATGCTATACCTACGTCAGCGAGGCCACAGGAAGCAGCGTCAGCACCTCCAGGTACACGAAGGTGAAGTCAAATTATCATTTTACTCGGATTCTGTATGCGCGTCTCTAAGACTCAGCATATATTGATGGCAAGCTATCCCAGATTCCTAGCTACTTGGCACAAGGTTTCGGCATCAAACGCTTCAAAATGTAGTTTGGAGGTGGCGAAGAGATGAAAGGAGAGTTGGTTGTGAGGATAAGGGATGATTACAAGATGTGAAGAGGATTTGACTGTCGCTCATTTTCTCTTTTGAGCAGTTACTTATCTTAGTTAGGACTTCACCTCCCTGTAGGATTTATTTTGGATTTGTGTTGAATCATATGTCGATTAGGAAATGTTATAGCCTATTGCTTACAAATTGGGATTGTGTCTCCAGCGCCGAGGACACAACTGCTTGAGGCCGATCACTCACGGCCTCACCGTCTGAGATGGTAATCGGTGAGGTAAGATGAGTCAAGACAGTTTTTCGGTCAACCTTTTTCACCCCTTTCTTCCACTGTTTGGGCAGGTTTTTCGCTTATTTTGGTTGACCGTGGGAATCACCGTACTGCTGTCACACCTCTCTACACTCTGCATTATGACTTCGCCCTCAGATCTTGAGTTCCTGCTTTTAGTCTAAACGTTCTCCAATCGATCTGCCTGGCATAGTACGACCTGAAAGAAAATATGTTCCAGCAAATACAGCTTCGTTGGAGAGTCACTATTAACATGTCCTACCATCACGTCATAATAGTAATACATTGATTCTGATATTACTACATGTTACAAGCGGGATGCTAGTTTTTAGGGTAGGTAAAATGGTTACAAATGCTACAAAATTTACTTTAAATGTTGATGAAGCATAAATTAGATAGAAGTGTCTGTTTCTAAAAGCACATTTACACCAATTCAGTTGTTTGTTAATTTAAGGTCAGGAATTTCTGAAACACTGATCAGGTATTTGTATGGTGATAAATCGTTTATGGTTTTGATTAATGTCAATTTCAGTTTGACCGTCCTTTTATTTATCACTCACGTAGGGTATTGGATTGTATTTCAGTGCAATTACGGTTGATGTGATTGTTTTTGGACTTGTAGCAGGTGGTTAGTGGTTGCTCAGTTTAGCATACTCAGCTGAGATAATGATTTTATCTGTAGGCGAATAATACAAACCAATTCTGTTGCGGATAGACCTAGTGACAGTCTATAGGGTTGCTTTAAGGATTATCCGTTTGTGGGGTCGCTATGTGTTTGATGTTGGCCACAGTCCCTACAAGGGGACGTAAGTGTCTGTTTCAGATGGATTCTAGGAAGTAGTAAATGGTGTTGGGTGACTCAATTTTTGGTCGGTTGTATTTATATTACATGTTGGAGCATTTGATGTACGTAGATTATGTCAAATAGGGCAACAGGCATCATTAGCTAGGACTTAAGAATATTGTGCCGTCGATGTATGCTGTGTCTCGGGAACGTGCATACAGGATCCAAGTAAAATTATTAATCTGATTTCACCTTGTTAAAATAAAGAGGCAGCTCGATTTACCCTTCGTGTATCGGTAGCCCTGATGCTTCTTCCAGGGGTCTTGCTGGCGTAGGCATAGCGTTGAGTCGTAGAGCTGAACAATCTCTCCTTGACTGGATCCCAGTAGATAGTCGCTTGTGCGCCGTCCGACTGAACGGGACAGTAAGGACTCGGAAAGACAGGGACACTCGCCCTTGTCTCTTCGTCATATCTCCCGACCGTAGCTGCTACATTGACGTGGTAGTCGAGCTTGCCTATCGCGATGACTCAACCAAGCTACACTGGCTGGAACATATGTTCCTCAAGGTTCTACCATGCCAGACAGGTCGATTGGAGAACTATGAGACTAAAAGCCGCTACCCAAAGTCTGAGGGTGAAGTCCAACTGCTGACTGCAGTGGGGTGTGACAGAGGTAATGTGTTACCTCGGACAACCAGCATCTGCAGCGATGCTGCCATCTCACAAGGAAGGAAGGGTTATAAAAGGTCGGTCCTAAAATTGTCACACCTCCCCTAACTCACGGATTTCCGTCTCCTTGGGTAAGAGTGCCCACTAAGGGCCTCTAAGAACCGGGCGAATCCTCAAAAAAACATTTCATAAAAAGGCCGTACGTGACCGGCCTCAAGTAGTTGTCCATTGGGCTCTGCGGTCACGCACCAACACTAATCTATCTTCCTTCTTCAGGTTATTCCAGAAACAACCTTCGACGGTGTGGGCAGCTGGGAAGTGACAACCGCCCTCATACCCATAACAGCACGCGAGACTAAATTGGTCAAAATCAAATCCTTCCTACACCAACACACACCTCTCTTATCTCCACGACTAACTCTTCTCACATTCATTTATCACAGTGCACAGCTAATGCAGACGACACGAGTTCGCGAAACGTCGTTCCTGGTCTCCTTAAACCTCGCTCTAGACTACATGTTGGAGCATTTAATGTACGTAGATTATGTCAAATAGGGCAACAGGCATCATTAGCTAGGACTTAAGAATATTGTGCCGTCGATGTATGCTGTGTCTCGGAACGTGCATACAGGATCCAAGTAAAATTATTAATCTGATTTCACCTTGTTAAAATAAAGAGGCAGCTCGATTTACCTTCGTGTATCGGTAGCCCTGATGCTTCTTCCAGGGGTCTTGCTGGCGTAGGCATAGCGTTGAGTCGTAGAGCTGAACAATCTCTCCTTGACTGGATCCCAGTAGATAGTCGCTTGTGCGCCGTCCGACTGAACGGGACAGTAAGGACTCGGAAAGACAGGGACACTCGCCCTTGTCTCTTCGTCATATCTACCATCAACACCCACTGACTGCAGTTCAGACGAGGTGAAAGATGAGTTTAACAGAAAGCTTTCGGACCTCCTCCAAAAAGTTAGGCACTCTGATATAGTTATAATGGCTGGTGACTTTAATGCTCAAGTAGGTAGACTAAGTGAAAATGAAAGACACCTAAGTGGATGTTATGGTGTCGCGGCTCAGAGAACAGACAATGGCGACCGTCTGTTGCAACTGTGCTCAGATAATCAACTATTCCTAGCAAACACTAACTTTAGGCATAAGGGAAAGCATCTCTTGACCTGGCGACCTCCAAAGTCGTCTCAACGTTGGACCCAACTAGAGCACATCGCTATCAGCCACCAATGGAGGGGTTCGACAGAGGACTGTCGCTCGTTGTGGGGCACATGTCTAGATTCAGATCATTCCCTAGTGCGAGCGCGTATTTGTTTAAGGCTTACTGGGCGTGGGAAAGACACCGTAAGAAAGCCTCCTAGGGTTTTACTTAATGATAATAGGGCGAAGAATATATTTCAGGAACAACTAGAAAGACAGGCGACCAAGCAAGTGATTCCCATCCGGGGTCAGGTTGGAATGATATCAAAAATGCTGTGGAAACAGCAGTGATATTTGTTAGTATTGTAAACCATATGATTTCGGAGAAGAAGTGGATTTCAGTAGCAACTACCGAACTGACAGACACTCGAAAGCTCATCCCGCCTGGCTCTGAGTGCAATGAGGAGCGCAGTCAGCTTAGGCGCAAGGTGGTAAAAAGTCTACGAAATGATCGCAAACAGTGGTGGGTAGCAAAAGCGAGAGAGATGGAAAAGGCAACGGTGGCAGGCAACAGTAGATTACTTATCAAACTCATCAAGGAAACTGGTATTAGGAATCCCAATGTGAGTGAGACTATCCCGCAAAAGGATGATGGTCTAATTATTCATTCTCAATCCAGGAGATTGGATCGATGGGCAGAACACTTTAGGGACCAGTTCAACTGGTTGCCCCTGATCCCCAGTCATCCTAAATGGCAAATAGATTTAAGTCCTCCCATTTTACATGAAGTTGAGAAAGCTATATTAAATCTAAAGCGAAGTAGAGTAGCAGGTCCTGATAGGCTTACCCCTGAGATGTTTAAGGATGGTGGTCCAGTTTTAACAGTTGGACTGACCGAGATCCTAGGTAGAATCTGGGAACTGGACGTAATCCCATGTGACTGGTCTAAATCGCTAATTGTCCCAGTGTACAAGAAAGGACAAAAGTCTCCTGGTGACAGTCACAGGGGAATCATTCTAACTAATATAATATCTAGATTGTTAGCCTCGATAATCCTTAGACGCCTAACTAGAGGTCGTGAAGAGCAGACTAGAGAAAACCAGGCTGTTTTTCGATTTGGACGTGGCTTATAGACCACATTTTCACACTACGACAGGTCCTGGAACATAGGCACATTTAGGTGTCCGACAATAGTTGTCCTCCTGGACCCTATGGCGGCATTTGATTCTGTCGATCGTGAGGCTCTGTGGCAGTGTCTTTCAATCAAAGATGTACCAAAGAAATACATTAACCTTATACGCAAGCTCTCTACTCGAACACCACTGTTCGGATGAGAGCATATGGCGAACTGTCACCGGAATTCTCTACATCAAGTGATGTCCCTCAGGGCTGTCCACTCTCTCCATTCTTGTTTAACCTTGTCATAGACATCCTCTTAGAGTTGACATTAAGCTCGTCAGATTTTTCAGGGGTTGACCTACCAGCAAATCGCTTACTGATCTATAATATGCCGATCATATAGTTCTAATCAGTGAAGACGCTGACAAAATGCAGAGTCTTCTGACTACCATGAGCAATAATGCAAGCATGTTCGGGATGCGGTTTTCCCCCTCGAAATGCAAAATGTTGCTTCAAGACTGGGTTGCATCGGCACCTGAACTAGTGATAGGGAGTGAAGTAGTCGGGCGTGTTGGTCTCTTCACTTATCTGGGGAGTCTCATCAGCTCTGATAGCCTGGTGACTGACGAAATCTCAGCACAGATACAGAAGGCTCGATTGGCTTTTGCCAACCTGCGTCACTTATGGCGTAGGCGAGATATCCGATCGCTGACCAAAGGATGGGTGTATTGCGCAGCAGTCCGCTCCGTTCTCCTATATGGATGCGAAACATGGCCGTTAAGAGTAGAAGATATTCTTAGGTTCGTGGTTTTGATCGTAGGTGTATCCGCTGCATTGCTCGTATATCGTGGGACACCCGAGTGAGCAACGCTGTTATTATGAAACGGGTGCTAGGTCAGAATAGCAGATCAATAGATGAAGTGGTGAAACTTCAGTTGAGGTGGTTGGGACATGTGTTACGTATGCCTAACCATGACTGCCTTGACGAGCTTTGTTTTGTAGTGTAGTAGTAGGTTGGAGGAAAGTTAAGGGCGGCCAAACCAAAACATAGCACAAATCCATGAAGTCATTGACAAGTGGACTGAGCCATGTCGGTCGTTGTCGACTACCAGGTTGGGGTCCGCGAGATGATAATATTCGATGGTTAGAGACCCTGAATTGTATGGCTCAAAATCGTTTGCAATGGCGCCGATGCATTTAATCTCTGTGTTCTCTTAAATCGTAACCTCCTGGATTCTTCAACACCTGTAGTCTTTTTTTCTTTCTAAACTATCTCATACTTGAATACTATCTTCTAATCCTAACCTCTCCGATTACCTCTTCTACTATTGGATTTGAATTGACAATTATATCTCTGTGCTGATGTGGTATGGCAACATGAAATGATGTACTTACGTACGAAGTTCTACGTTGCATCTGACTGACTGAAGAAACGAAAGGAGAGTTGGTCGTGAGGATAAGGGAGTGATTAAAAGGTGTGAAGAGGATTTGACTGTCATGCATTCGGTCTCGTATGCTGTTACTGATTTGACGTCGGTAGGACCTGAAGGATTATATTTTCCAGCTAATATAGCTTGTTTGGGTCATCACTATTAGCAAGTCTGACCACCACGGTATGTTAGCAGCTGCGGTAGGTGTCAGTATGAAGGACTTTTAACGATCAAACGTACTTTTGTTAATTTTGCCATGTTTTGATTGATCAAGTGAATTTTTTGTGTCATTCAAAATGTTATAACCACATTATTTTATGTAATTAAAATGTCAATTTACTATCTAATTTGTTTTATAGGCACCTGGTGGGTCATCAAATATCAAAGTCGGTGATTTAATCGCTGTAATCGCCACTCCAGGAGAGAATTGGCAGGAGGTTGCTGCTTCTGCACATTCATTATCTCCGCCAAAAACAGCTGGCAGTACGCCAAATCAAGCGGAGACAAAAGCTATAACTAAGGAATCACAGCCGTCTCGCTCCTTAATAGGACCTGCGGTTCGTCTCCTCCTACAGTTACACGATATCAATGAGTCTCAAATACGGCCAACGGGACCACACGGTCAGCTGCTTAAAGGGTGAGTTAAACTAGTTTTGTGAGATCTGACTGCGTATTAAGCGTTCACTGTGATTATAATCCCGAAATTCTAGTGATTTGTTCAACTTTCTGTCAATTTTCTTATTCTAAAAATCATAACTCAATTAACTTTCACTCGTGTTTTCCCACGTTTATTTTAAAGATACTCTCTGAATCCCCTCCAAGATTCTTTTAATAACATAAACTGGACATATTGGTGGTTCCTTTTATTTTAAATGTGAATAAATTGGTTTTCGGATAACCTGATTATGTAACTCGTTTACTAAATAAAATTTTTTATACTCGTCGAGCTACGCTTTATATAAAGGGTGATACTATAATTCGGTTTCCTAAACGGAAGTATATGGCAAGTTTTCTGACCTACGATCACATAGTCGAAAACTTAGTACTTCAGTCACCAAACTACTACTCTGATTTCGTTCGTATTCACCTATTATTCTCTATTTTTAAGTGCTCCATATATAACACAGGCCTCGTTCATCTGCGTTCGCTAGTGTCCTTATTCCCGACTTACCAAATCGATTATTGGGGCTCGTAGCTCATTTATTAAAGCATTCAGCTACCAATCAGTTAGCTGAAGGTCTTAAATGGTTACTAGGTCTCTGGAAATTTATCTCATCAATTCACATGACAAAGTTAAGCATATTGGATTGTTGGCTAATATACAAGGACTGGCTGTTAATATTTCTGGATTGATGACATGGTATATCTAAGGCATATAGCTTCTTAATTATATTTCTATTCATTTCCTTTAAACTATCTAACAATAGTTCTGCACTCTAATAATGAGAATGGAAAGTGGGAATTCACCTAGTTAATAGTTAAAGATCAAAGCACGATTATGGTAAAGTGAAGCAAGGGAAAACAGGTACTCTCAATAGTGAAAAAGTAGTTCTGATGTTTTGTAAAAATAATCAACTGGTGTTTAGGCCTACAGTAGTTTTATTTTTTAGAAGAGAGTTTTTTAGGGTCACAACAGTTTAACTGAAGGTTTAGTTCATGCATTGCGTTCTTGGATTCTAAATTTTCTATTGTGCCTTATTATTGAGAATATAACGTAACATATATTTCAGATTATACTCAAATTGTGTATCATTCAGCTGTATGGTAAATAATTGTAGGTATTTAAAGTCCTCCAAGCTGACCACGTTAAATCTCTAAATACATTTCTGTGTACTTTCTGCAGGTAATTCATCTAGTTCGTTTCATCTAGATATACTGAATCTATCATATGAGACGTTCCAGATATTAAGATGATCGAAACATGAAGGTACCGATCCAGTTACAAACGTCAGTTTCGCTTTAAACTAGGTTACTTTTTTGAAAACGCTCAATGTGCTAAAAAACGACTCATGGAAGACTATAAATGAAAGGGCTCAGACAAATTATTTAATCCATTTGATTGTCTTTCTTACAATAAACATTATGTTGATAACCAGTTTTGTGTGAACATATATTTTTCCTTATAAATTGTTCTTTTATAGTTACTCTTAGCTATGCTGAGCAGTATAACAGCTTCAGTTAGCTCACTGTTTAACATTATTTTCCGTTTTTGTTTTGAATTACTAATAAGTCAGTTTCCACAAAAATATTGGATACTTTTATGACAGTATAGTCACTCTAATCCACTGTCGACAGTATATCATTCAATAACCCATTGTCCTGGACCTGACAGTGTGAATTCTAAAGTTATCCATCTACACTGTTTCTGTGCTAATATTCTATTCAGTTTAAGATCGAACCCTAAAGCAATGGTTTTACCAGTGGACTTTCAACAGCTGGTTCTCTATTTCACTTTGCAAAACCGAGTATATAAATCTGGATCGTTCATTAAATATTATTTCTCAGGTTGGTTAACGAGATTAACGAATTCAGGTCTCTTATACTTATTATTAATAGTAACAGGATGAAAATTTTAGATGGATCATTCAACCTCACTAAGGTTTTTTGTTTTACTCTGTTTATCTACTTTACATGGTTATTTTTATTCTAGAGATGTTTTGGCTTACGTAGCTAACAATCAAATTAAACCTGTTGTATCTAGTAAAAAAAAACCAGCTAGTGATATTTCTGCTACACAAACTGTCTCATCGGCAGCCACTTTCACAGATATCATGTTATCGGATACGAGAAAAGTTATTGCTCAGAGTTTGTCGGAATCAAAATTATCTGTCCCACATGGATATGTTCACGCGACTGCTCATATAAGTCGTTTAAATGAATTGAGAAGAGAATTGGAAGTGAATTCGGGTTTAAATCTCTCCATAAATGATTTCATTATCAAAGCTTGTGCTTTAAGCTTAAGAGTAAGTTTGTTTTTGTGTTTGGTAAATTAATGCATTAATGTATATCATACAAACAAGCCGAATTATTGCCCAAATGGGATTCACACCCATTTTTTACCTTACTAATATTAAGTGCTTGGATTCGTTATTCACGATGTCTAAAATTGAAGAAAAAACATTACCAACAAGACCATGTTTCTCGTAAAAAGTTTTCGCTACAACTATAGATATACAATTATGAATTGTAAGCTCAAATTTCCACTACTACCACTCGGTGTAACACTATAAGGGATGCTATATTTGATTTTCTAGATTTTAGTGTTGGGTAAGAAATTTTATTGTTATCTATGATTACCTGGTACTTGACAATTCTACTCAAAATATAAAAAGATTCAAACTAGACCAATGTCTTTCAATATGAGTACCGTATCTGATGATATCGAACTAGATGTTTTATCTCAGTGATTTTCTTGAGTTTGTTTTTTGTGTTTTCGTGTAATCCTCGTTTTAGTGTCATATGTAATTATTTAATTCTCCAAGTTGTGTGAGGTACATGTAGGTTTCCTCATCATATGATAGCCTAGTCTTAAAAATTAGCTGCCTGTTTCGGGAGAAAAACAGGACGTCAGAAGAATTTAATTTTTAAAACTGCTTATGAGTCAAGTTCATTCTCAACTTATCTTTTCCTTAGTATCTGAGAAATTTAGGATTCTTTGATATCTGTTTTTATTTTGGCCAAATCGATAGGCCTCGATGCAAGGCAAAATACGAGTTTGAGAATAACTTCTAGACAACTGTAAGATGTTGTCAAACGAGATCTCACTAAAGTTTGTTATACTATTAACTAATATTCAGGTACACTCGCTGTCAAGAAATCACTATATTAGGTAATGTTTAAATAAATAAACTATTTATTTGTTTCTGGTCCACCCATAAGTGTCCGAAAATTATGTGTCTGTTTAGCTTTAACACGAATAAACACTTCTGGTACAGTTCTGCAACTGTTTCTTTTTTATTTATAATAAGCATCTTATGGTCATAGCAGTGAAAACATATCGTTTTTTGCATTTGTTCAGCTTGTTCCAGATTTAAACGCCATTTATGACTCGCAATCAGAATCTCCCATTTATCGAAGATCGGTTGATATAAATATGACGGTACCAACTAGTTCAGGGTTACTTACACCGATTTTGAATTCAGCAGATACACTTATCGTTTCTGATATTTCCAAGTTGTCGCGACAGTTATTTCAGAAGGCACAAGATGGTGTACTACAACCACATGAACTTCAAGGTGGGAGTTTCACGTAAGCGCTTGTTTAGAGCTTAAATCGTACATACATATGGTGTTTTTTGACGCTTTTTTGTAAATTGGGATGTGTAAGTATTCAAAACCATACATGTCGACATATAAAGCAATGTTTCAACCTGCAACGTAGAACTTGGTACATACGTACATCAATTCAATCTGCTGTGCCACATAAACACAAAGAGATCGAATTGACAACTCAAATCCCATAGTGCACCATTAGAAGTATTGCAAAAGGTTAGAGATCAAAGCTGTGATTCGAAAGACATCATAAAGCAATATAAACATAACATAGAGCAAATCGAGCCTTCTGTATCCGTGTTGAGATTTCGTCAGCCACCAGGCCATCAGTACTGATGAGACTCCAGAGATAGGTGAAGTAGTTAACACGCTCAACTGCTTCACTCCCTCTTAGGGGTTCAGGTGCCGACGCAAGTCAATCTCAAAGCAATATTTAGCATTTCAAGGAGGAAAACCGCATCTCGAACATGCATGCGTTGTTGCTTAGGGTAGTCAGAAGACTCTTAATGTTGTCAGCATATTCACCAAATAGAAATATGTCATCAGTATATTCTAAGTCAACAAGTGGATCTCCTGATAGTTCAACTCCAAAAGAGTCGGACGATGAAAGTGTCGTCTCTCAAATCAGGTCAGTGACAAAGTTAAATAAAGATGAAGAAAGTGGATAGTCTTGATGAGCATCATTGGAAGTGATTGATTGCGATGACAGTTCGCCATATGTTCTGACTCGACCAATGATGTTCTTGTAAACAGCCTGTAGAAGTTTGGATGAGATTACTTCTAGTTCCCAGATTCTAGCTAAGACCTCAATCAATCTAACTGCTAAAACTCGACCACCATCCTTCAAAATCGCAACGGTCGGTCCATCAAGTTCTACTGCTCTGCCTTGCTTTAGATTGCCTCAAGTATCGTGGGACAGCCGAATAAGCAATGCTGTTGTTAGGAAATGGGTGCTAAGTAAGGATGGCAGGTCAATAGGTGAAGTAATGAAACTTCATCAGTTGAGGTGGTTGGGACATGTGTTACATATGCCTAACCACCAACTGTCTCATCGAGCTATGTTTTGCGATGTAGGAATAGGTTGGACGGAAGCTAGGGGCGGCCAAACCAAAACATGGCACAAATCCATGAAGTCACTGACAAGTGGTCTGAGTCATGTCGGTAGGTGTCGACTAATTTGTTGGGGTCCGCGAGATATTAATAATCGATGGTTAGAGACGCAGAATGGCATGGCTCAAAAGTGTTTGCAATGACGCAGGTGCATTTACTCTTTGTGTTCTATGAAATTCTAACCTGCAGAGTTCTTCATCACCTCTATCTTTCTCTTTCTAAATTTACCTCACTGAATTATACTTCTTGAATAACATCTTCGAACCCTAATCTCCGATTACTTCTAATACTTTTACTACCTCTACTACTATGGGATTTCAAGTGACTATTGCTTCTGTGTGCTAATGTTGTATGGCAACTTGAACTGCTACACTTACGTGCAAAGTTCTACTTTGCTCTTGACGATTGGTGATGATGATGAGATTGCCTATACTCTTTTCAACATCATTAAGAGTCAGTTGAATTATATCGACTTGTCATTCGCGTCGACTGGTGATCATGTGTAACCGAATTGTCACTGAATGTCATTTGAACTACTCCCCGAGTGTTCAGCCTATCTATACAGTCTCCTGGTTTCGGGACCAAAGATAGTCCTGTCTTTTTCCGTTCTTTTGATTAACTTGATCAACCGCGTACTGTCATTGCTTAAGCTTCTTATCACTCGATCCTAGCTGTGTGTGCTGGAACACATGTTTCGTTTGGTCTTACCATGACAGACGGGTCGATTGGAAAACTAGAATCAGAAACTGAAGGTTTGGAGAGCGAAATAATACTACTGACTGTAGAGGATTGTAACAGCTGTAAGGTGATTCCATCGGACAACCAGTAACTGTAGTGATGCTACCTTCTCTCAATTGAAGTAAATGGTTTGAAAATGTTACACCTCACCTTACCTAATAGATTTCCGTCTCCATTGGTAAGGCGTTTTGAGGAGCGGAGCTAACACTTGACAAACTTTCTATGAAAAGACCGTACGTTACCGGCCCCAAGCAGTTGTCTCTTGGGCTCTGCGGCCACTCTCCCAGGTCCCTAAGACCAACACTAATCTACTCTCCTTTTCAGGTTCTTCAAGTAATAGCCATCCACTGTGCGGGCTGCCAAAAAGTGACATTTCCCTTTATTCCGAACTAGTCACAATCAAATTCTTGTTACACCTCTTAATAACTCTTTTATCTCTCGACCAACTCTTCATTTCACTCCTTTGCAACCTCGCGCTGCTAATACAAACGTTTCCGATTCGTGAAAAATAATTCCTGGTCTCTTGAAACTACGCCCCAAACTACATGTTGGAGCGTTTAATGTGCAGAACTTGAACCAAGTAGGCCAACTAGCTTCCTTAGCTAGCAATCTGGAATATCAGGCTATAGATGTATACTGAGTCTCCGAAACGTTCAAACAGGATCTATAACAGCACATGAGACCGAATTGGGTACAATCCCTTCTTTCTGATTTTTTTTAATAACTCTCTAATCTCCACAACTATTTCTTCTCCCGCCACTGATACAAACGATTCGAATACGCCATTCATGTTGACTGGAGATAGTGTGTAACCGAAAAGTCACTGAAGGCCAATTGAAATGCTCTCTAAGTGTTCTGGTCATCGATCCAATCTCCTGGTTTTGGTACAAATCATAGTGGTCTTTTTCCGTTCTTCTGATAAGCCTGATAAACTGTCTACTGTCACGTATCGCCAACGCCATTTCCATCTATCTTGCTTTCTTCACCCACCACTGTTTGCGACCATTGCCTAGGCTTTTTTCAGCCCATGTTTTTACTGAGTGCGCTGCCTATCATATGCAGAGCCAGATGCGATTAGTTTCCGGGCATTTGACCGTTCAGTGGATGCTATCGAAATCAACTGTTTCTGCCTAACCGTTTAGTTTTATTGGCAGATTCCAATTACGTTTCCACAGCTTTGTGGAGATCATTTCAAGCTTCTTCGCGGTTGGCATCACTTACGTGGCTGCCTAAATGTTTTTCAAGTTGTTCCAGAAGTATTCTCTTGAATTCCTCTAAACAAAGATAGGCGGGAATTAATTCTAGAATATCTCATTTATTTTTTTGGAAATGAAGTGTAATGGCTAAACCATCTACCGACCACTACCACTATTATCAAGAGCCTCAACCTTAAATATTGAGGGTTACAGATATTACTAGTTGTACGTAAGTCTACTTAAACCATTATATGTAAAATAAATCCATTGCTCAAACATCTTTCGCATTACAACTCCCAATTTGTCTCACTACTAAATAATCTATGAATTTTGTAAACATTCAACTTTGAAGAGTAATTTAACGAAACACTACATGGCATTCAGGTTTTCGCCGATAATAAAAAATTTATATTTCGTAAGTTTGATCAGTAATCCAGTTCAGTGCTCATAAACTTTTTATTTTGTATACGACAGTCCATGCATGACTTAATGAGTTGGTTATGTCACTTTAATAAATTAACCCAGCTGTCTTTTCTGAACAGAATCTTTGATCTTGGAATGTACGGTATTCGAGAGTTCACTGCCATCGTGAATCCTCCTCAGGTGGCTATTCTATCTGTTGGCGCTGGTTTGCCTGAGGCCTTTGTCTCAAAATCATATATAGAAAATGAAGTAACTTTTTCAACGGATATTGGGCTAACATTGTCAATAGATTCACGATGTGTAAGTGAAGTTGCTGCAGGTTCTTTCTTGAAGTATGTTTGTAATCTGTTAGGAGACTGTCCGCATCTATTACTTGATGGTGATCCTGTTTTATTGTCCTTGGAGAGTAAACATGCTTTCTCTCAACGAGACGAATTTGAAAATTCAATGCTTTCAAAAGTGAATACAGATACTATTCAAAATGCAGTATAATTCACTGTTATGTATCCTATCTTTCTCATTCCCCTAGCTTACTTTATTCTTTATTTAAAGCTGTTCTACTCTTTTCTCATTCTAAAAATGTAGATTAGTTCTAATTGTAACTGCCTACTTTTGTTATACTGACTACTAATTTAATTTTCTATTTGTACTGTTTTATTATGGCTAAATACACAACCGATGAGGCAAAAGTAACTTGCTGACCCTCACGAAAAGATAGTGTCCGTTTTAAAAACAATAATATTTAGTTATTTCCTTGTGTGTTTTATTTCGGTACGGACTAATATTATCGGATTTTATTAGAATAAATGACAGATCAAATAATAATTATTGGGCAATAAAGAAAATCTTGCATCTAATTTGGAAGCAATTAATAATGAAGGATAATCTTCTCCGTAAAAGCAGCCTCTGTAAAAGTGAGGCGTATCATCAAGTCTCATTATTTTTACGTAATTCAGAGAGTAGCTGGAAAGTTGCTAGAAATTCTCAACTCCGTGGTCTATATGTACAAAAAAGACGAATAACTTCAGCATGGTTTGTTACCTGTCTTGTGGTTTGCTCCCACAGCTACACACTAAAGAAATTCACTAGTATTTTCACCGACGGAACTCTCAGTTGCGGCTAGTTGACTCTTGTTAGGAGATCCTTTAGTGAAAATCACTTGTCTAAGCCACAAATGACCACGTAGTGATGTGGAAATAAGATTATGGGATTGTGTCTATTGGTCATTCATTGATAGTGAAAAAGAAGAATATGTACTTGGATGTTAACTGTATGCAAATGTGAGAAAAGCTTGAAAAAAATACAGATTCGTTGTTGGCGAATCCCTGCTTACTAAGGAGAGTATATGCTAAAGCTGTTGCAAGCCGACCTACTTTGTTATGTTGTGATCGTAAATAAGAAATCTCAATTTGTTTATAACTGTCATTTGTGATATAAAATTAAGTAGGTAATTGTTCAACGTTAGTTTGTGAACAGCGAAACGTGAACCAGCAGTTTATGAGTTAAATGAAATTTACAATCACAGCGATATGAAGATACAATTAATCGAATATTTAATTAATGTAGAATTTAAAAATAATGTGATTATCCATCAGTATAGTTCTGAAGGTTCCACCTTTTCCAACTATTCATCCATACCTAACACCTCCCTTTTTTGATCGTATCAACAAAGTGGTTCGTTCTTGTATGATTAGGTTTTTCCTCATAAGTCGTATAGATACTTTTAACTTTTTTGTTTTTCATATCTTAATCCACTAACATGTTTAAAGCCATGGTGGAGTTCTTATTGACTTACGCCTTGAATTGTCGTAGATGTTTAGCGTGTCGTATTCACAACGTATTTCTGACTTTTACTTCTTAAGTAACCTATTCAGTTTATAGGACACTCTAGGTTTTATTAAAATTATTGATTTCGCCAGAAAGATATGACTACTATTTACAGGATTAGCCATTGAGCTGTTGAATACTAATATCATAGTTTTATGTCCGAAAATTATCAACTAGTTTTTTGCACTGCGGACAAACTGCAAGCTATTCATACAGTTTCTATACGTAAGTATATATTCGGTTGGAGACAGTTAGCGTGTGGCCACTGTATCCATAATTCATTTCGGTGAATAATTCCTGCACAGTTCTCTTTTCTTGTCAAGAAAAATGGTTCAGCCTAATTGATATCTATGATACACATTAATTATTATATTATTCGGTCCTAAAACAGCACATGTCTCTCAATATTTCCCAATTGTTTATCATATCAGCACTCATAGATTTTAAACAAGCATTAACTGCATTCGAGACCAACTTTCTCGAGTTTTGACAACATCGGATATCTGAGAACTAAATCATTGTAAGATCAAATTTTAGTGATGAAATGTTTTTTTGGCTATAAATGTTATGGAAAAACTCACAAAATTATGGATACAAAGCGGTGAACTGCCCTTAAGAATTTATCATAAAGCTATACTATTATAGTACTCTTTAAAAATATCTACTGTGTTGTATCTCGAAACCACAAAGATATGAATTTAATACTACCGATTCGCTCAATATATTTTCAGACGGTGGTATGGAAGTAGACAATAGGAAGCATAATAATAATAGCTATGTTCGATATTACATTTTAACTAAAATTTTGCGTCTTTCACCTCGTCTGAACTGGAGTCAGTGGGAGCGTAGGCGGATATGACGAAGAGACAACGGCGAATGTCCCTATCTTTACGAGTCCTTACTGTCCCTTCCAGTCGGACAGCGCACAAGCGACTATCTACAGGGATCCAGTCTAGGAGCGCTAGTTCTGCCCTACGACTCAATACTATACCTACACCAGCGAGACCCCGGAAAGGAGCATCAGGGCTACCGGATACACGAAGAGTAAATCGAGCTGCTTCTTTATTTTGACAAGGTAAAGTCAAATTAACGACTACTAGGATCCTGTATGCGCGTTTCCGAGACGCAGCATACACCGATGGCACGAGATTCTATAGTAATAGCTAATGATGCCTGTTGTCCTATTTGACACAATGTCCCGTACATTAAAAAGTTCAACATATAATTTAGAACTGGGTTTCAGGAGGCCAGGATTAACTTTTCGTGAACCCGCATCGTTTACATTGGCGGTGCAGTGAGATAAAAGAATGCGAGTAGAGTTAGTCGTGGAGATAAGAGGGATACTAGGGTGTGTAGGAAGGATTTGACTTCGACCAATTCGGTCTCGCGTGCTGTTACGGGTATGAGGGCGGTTGTTACCTCACGGCTGCCCACATCGTGGAAGGTTGTTTCTTGAGAGACCTGAAAAAGAAGGCAGATTAGTTGGTCTTAACGACGTGGGAGCGTGACCACAGTGCCCAAGGGACAACTGCTTGAAGCCGGTCACGCACGGCCTTTGTATGAAAGGAATTTGAGTATTAGCTCTGTTCCTGTTTAAAAGCCCTTACCACCGGAGACGGAAATCCGTGAGGTAAGGTGAGATAAGACATTCTTAGGGTCGAAATTTTCTAACCCTTCCTTCCTTGTGAGAAGGCAGCATCGCTGCAGATGTTGGTCGTCCGAGTGAAACACGTTACTGCTGTCACACCCCTCTACAGTTAGCAGTACGACTTCGTCCTCAGACCTTGAGTAGCTGCCTTTAGTCTCATCATTCTCCAATCGACCTGCCTGGCATGGTAGAACCTTCAGGAACATATGTTCCAGCCAATATAGTTCTGTTGGATCATCACGATAGTCAGGCCCAACCACCACGTCAATGTAGCAGCTACTGTCGGGCGAATATGTCATTAACATAAGCATTACTTGTACAAGGACGAATCTAAAGGTATCACGGCATTTCTTTCTGAATGACGTTGCAGTTATCTAACTGTTCTTAAAGAACTGACATCAATATACAGTATGTGCACACTGCATGCAAAAAATCTACAATTATGACATGTGGCAAATGTCTACGTTATTACATTATTTATCGCTTCCCGGGTGTGACTTCATAAAAGCTAACTGTCCAGTCACTGGATCGTTATAGCTCGATACCACAGTTTAAGGCAATATTCGGTATATTTCAAGGCAACAAACGAATCTCCTGGTAAAAGTTCAACTTCCTAAAACCCAGAGGATAAAAGTGTCGTAACTAAAAGCACGTCAATGAAAAAGGTTAACAAGGACGAAGAAAGTGGCCAGCCCTGACGGACACCACTTGAAGTAATCGATTTTGATGACATTTTGCCCTAAGGTCTAGCTAAATTAGTAGTGTTCGAGTAATGAGGCCGTATAAGATTAATGAATTTCTTTGGTACGTCTTCTAATGAAAGACACTACTGCCAGAAAACAACGACTGTGGGACGCCTAAATGCGTGTCTGTGTTCTAGGACCTGTTGTATCGTGGCTATCTGGTCTAAACAGCCATGTCCAGGTCGGAAACCAGCCCGCTTTTCTTGAGTCTACTCTTCAAGAGCCCTAGCGAGGCGTCGGAATATTATTTGAAGCCAATATTTTGAACGCTTCAGATACACTGATTCTCCTGTGATTGTCACAGGAGGACTTATTCAGTGATTGAGACCACTCAGACAGGATTACAATCAGTTCGCGAGTTCTACCGAAGATCTAAATTAATCTAACCGCTAAAACTGGACTACCATCTTAAAAAATCTCAGCGGGTCATTCTAGCAGGGCCCACTGCTCTCCCTCGTCCTAGATTTCCTATAGCCTTTTCAACTTCATAAACAGTCGGAGATTACATCAAGTTGCAGATCTTTCTATTCTGGAAGTAATCAAAAAGGTGCAACGTATGTGATAAACTTACGAGTACTAAATACTAGCTATATTATTTGAATTTCGAGAAGGACCATTAATTCACATAACAGAAATCCTAAAAGAATAAACGTTCTATACTTTATCGGAACTATCCTGCGAACTTAGCATTTCACAATAAAAACGATCCATTCATATTTTTGCATTGTTTTTGAAAAAATTAGTCTAAAATATATCTACATCTACAGCGTAGAGAAGATAAATTTGGAGACAAATTAAAGTCAGTAGAATAAAGTCAGCAAGAGGTTTATATACTTATTGTCTTCATTTTGAAAACACTAAATCGTACTACCTATAATAAGTGTGATCCTTATTTCTATCGTATACTGCAGTAATATATGAGTGACAATACACATTATAAATCTCCCAAATGCAATTGGACTTACCGTATGAGGAGTTGTTAACAGCAATGATATGTGCTGATGAATATCTTTTGTATTCCTTAACAATGATGGGAGGGCTGATTCCTTAACCATGATGTTTGATGGATTAACACTCGGACGTACACGCGGATTTGCAGGTTTTTCATAAATTTTTGAAGGTAATTTGCAAAAATCGAGTGGTAAGATGCGAGATCGTTCGTGTTTATATTTTGTTGTGAGCTCCTTATTCAGAAGATATGAAATCTTTAACTGGTTTTTAACTAGTATTTGACTTCTATAATCATAAAAATCCAAGCGACGAACTATAACACAAAATATGGGATGTTAAAACATGAACATATTAAATGGTTTGTGCAGAAACCAGTAAAAATTGGTCAAATGCAATAAACAGAACTTATCTCAATACCGGAAATATTATTACCGCACTTATTACACTGTTTACAAAGGAGAGCCGGAATGAATTCGGGATTCGTTCAGAGATTTAAATCACTTATGAGGCACATAAACTGGCGACAACTTACCATACAGACTGTCATACGTTGGAAAAGAAAACATGGATAATATTCATTTTGA